CGCACTGAAAAAATTAGTCCACGACCACCTGTTGTGTGGGCCCCACCCGGTCCGTATAAATTACGTTAAGAGCGGGTAATCGGCTCCCAAATAGCTTTTTCATCAGCCTTTTAGGAGCCAGTGAGGCCCGAAACTTAAAGGGCTACGCCTATACTCATAGAATCTGGGGTTACAGTACGTAACCAACGTTCTATTTTGTATAGGCTTCGCCCTTTAAGAGCTGTCGCTGGTGGGTTAAGGGCGAAGCAGATGTAGTCTCCACCTCACTGGGTCCATTCGAACACCATAAGAAGCGCCCGCTTGCCCAAAAAACATCTTGTCACTCAGCTTTCCATGTGCATAAATACGCATTGTGTAATTACGCGCATCATGCACAGACATGCACTGTGTAATTTACGCGTTCCCGAGTGCATGAACGCCCCAGAAAGGTTTTCAACAGAAAAGAGGAGAGGCTGAAAAAGGCCGTGGACAGAGCAGATCCACGGCTCTTCAATATGAACAGATTAATAATAAGTAAACTGATAATTAATCAAATAAACTGATTGATGACAGAAGTCATGAACAGATTAGTGACAATAGAACAAGAACAATGGTCACAACCTGTGACTGATAACATCTCACACTGTAAATGCATGCAGTCAGCTGTGAGTTTAAACGAGATTCCATGAAACAATAATATTCATTCTGTTAAGGCACTAAGGACAGAATGTGTCATGGAACGAGCCGTCACATCACGTAAATAAAAGCGAATAAATGAACAGGGTGTTGACCACGCGGCCGCAGTGCAAATATCCTGCATTGACATACCATTATGCAAAGCAGTCGAAGATGCGATACCTCTGGTCGAGTGCACCCTGAGGTTGTCAGGAGGCTTTAAATCTGATGCTCTGTAGGCTTCAGAAATGGCCTCACGCAGCCAGTGTGACAGGCACTGGGTGGATAACGGGCGACCTGCAGATGCATCTCTATAGTGCACAAACAAAAGTTGAGTCTGACGCAATGCCGCTGTGCATGTTACGTAACACGTCAACGCACGTACAGGGCAGAGAAGATGGAAAGATGCTTCTTCTTCTGATTGTGAGGAGGAGGGAAAAATCCCTCCAACGATATTGCTCTTGATTTATAAGAGCTTGTGATGTTTTTAGGCATAAATGCTGGATTAGGCCTCAGATCAGCTGAGCTGCCATCAGCCTGAATTCTGAGACACGATGGAGTGACGGAGAGGGCAGATAAATCACTCACCCTCTTAGCGGATGTTAAAGCCAGCAGCAGGGCTGTTTTAAGAGACAAGAATTTAATTGGAACCTGATTCAGTGGCTCGAACGGAGCTTTGATTAGGGCTTGCGGAACCAGCATTAAATCCCACTGTGGAGCAAGTGGGCGTGAAACAGGCCTGCGTCTCTGTACACTTTTAAAACAACGCTTCATCAGCGTATGATTAAAAGCTGTTCTGTCCCCGAAACCTTCGTGACAAGAAGAGATGGCTGCAGCGTACGTTTGTCCATCAGCTGCTGCAGAAAGGACAGCACGCCACCTAGTGGACATGAGGTGGCCTCTACACCTTTCTCCGTACACCAGCACTGAAAAGCTGTCCACTTTGATGTGTACAGCGCTGTGGTAGATGTAGCACGTGAATCCTGGATCGTGCACACTACCTCTTGAGAGAGACCCATCCTCTCTAAACAGATCTGTTCAGCGGCCAGACCCAAAGGTGCTGGCCTATTTCTGGTTAACTCCTGATCACTCCTCCTGCCTGGAGGAGAGCATCCTCCCTCCACGGCAGTTTCCACAGGCGCCCCGATTACAGGCGTCGTAGAACTAGGAACCATGGGGCGTTCACGCGCTCGGGAGCCACCTGGAGAGCTGTTAGTTCCTCCTCCTGAACTCTGTTCAGAAACCGTGATATCAGAAGGAGTGGGGGAAATGCGTAAAGAAGCATTTTGGGCCACGGGCTGTGAGCAAACGTGTCTACCCCTAGCGGTGGTTCGTCTTGCGGGCTCAGTGAGAACCATAGTTGACACTGAGCATTCTCTCGTGTTGCAAACAGGTCCACGACCACTTTGCCAAATTTTTGCCACGTCTGAGCCATCAGCTCTGGATGGAGGGTCCAGTCCCCGTGACACGGACCGCCCCTGGATATCACATCCACCCCCCTGTTCAGAACACCGGGGATGTACACTGCTCTGATAGAGAGCAGATTTTGGTGTGCCCAACACAGCAGCTGTCTCGCAATGTGTAACATTTGGGCTGAGCGCACACAACCCCTGCTGGTTTATGTATGCAGCAGTCACCTTGTTGTCTGTGTGAATCAACACATGTTGATTCCACAGCACACAGGCAAAGTGTTGAATCACATTCAAAACCGTGCGACACTCCAAAACATTTATATGAGCTGCTGTGTGGGGTGGCCACAGCGCCCCCACAGCTCGAGACATGCATGTGCCTCCCCAACCTGACAGAGACGCGTCTGTGAAGACTGACACGTGTGACGTAGGTCTGCTGACGGAAACTCCCTCCGACAAAACAAGAGGATTTCCCCAGTGTCTCAGGTCGCTTCTCACGGAGGGGGGGCACACCGTCTCTTCTGCCTCACCAAATCCACACGCAAACGAGCGAACCACCTCTGGAGACGTCGCATGTGGAGTAATCCCAACGGGATCACCGTGTGAGCTGACGACATTGTTCCTAACAACTTCATGACAGAAACAGCTGTTACAACTCTGCCTGGTTTCACGTGGCAGAGCTGGTCCTTTAGAGCTTCAGTTCTCGTCTGAGATAAGCGAGCCCTCATAGTGACCGAGTTTAGCTCCACTCCCAAATAAACAATCGTCTGTGCCAGGAGAACTGAACTCTTTTTCCAGTTTATGGTGAAGCCGAGATTTTGCAGGTGTGACATCAGCGTCAGAGTTTGCGCTGCTGTCTCTTGTCTGGAATGGGTCAGCAGCAACAGATCGTCCAGATAAAACAGAATTCTAATCCCTGCACTGTGTAACGGCTGCAGAGCCGCCTCCACACATTTTGAAAATGTGCATAGCGCGAAGTAATACCCAAACGGGAGTCTGTTGTACTGATACTGGTTCCCTTGAAAGGAGAAGCACAAGAACTTTCTGTGCTTTGGAATGATCGGGATGTGGAAGTAGGCGTCTTTCAGATCGATGGAGGTAAACCAGTTGTTTTGCTGAATGTTGTCTAACAATTGTCTGGTTGTCAACATGTGAAATTGTCTCTCCATGATTGATATGTTGAAAATTGACAAATCCAAGATGGGTCTCATCCCTCCAGTCCGTTTTGGGACCAGGAAGTAACGAGAGTAGAACCCTGTGTTTTCCTCTCCTTCTGGATTCCTGGAAATTACATTTTTCACCAGAATTTCCTGAACCTCTGCATGAAGAAACGAGATCTGTTCTGGGCATGACAGAACTGTCTCTAAAATTCCTCCAAGCGGGAGGGGTTGAGCTGCGAACTGCAGCGTATATCCCCTGCTGATAAGGCGGTTCATCCATCTGTCTAGAGCGCACACTCGCTGCCGCTCCGTGTAACGTTTGGGGAGCAGACGCGCGTCTCCGTGCTGCGTCATGTTTTTTACGGACGTCAACCAATTTACAGCCTCTACCGCTGTCATGTGCTGCGAAGGCGTGCTTCGAGCGACCCAAGGTGAGGCTTTCTCGAAAGGGCCCTGAAGGCACCTCTGTGCCACGCTCAGGCTGCGGGCTCACATCTGTGCTGCCGTGTGCTGAGGGGAGGTGCGCGCGCCCTTGGCCATGTGGTGCCGCTTCGAAACCGGCGCTCTCAGTCTACCAGGTCCGACTGCAGCCTCGTTCCAGTAGGACGTCACTGCTGGGAAACGAGGCCAGATGGGATAAGGACGGCGAGCCGGGGTGGAGCCAAACCTTCCCGCTAGATTATCTGATCTGGGTGGGGGGAGGAAAGGGACGGAAAGTCCATTCGTGTCAGCCGCCTCCTGAATTATGCCGGGCAGCTCAGAGAGGAGGGCACCGACGGCTGGGAGCTGTGTGGTCGCTGATGCGGAAAGGCCCAGGGGGGATGAGCATCCGCTCGGCCCCCCTTGTCCCGACACCACGCTCTCCAGGAGGGAGTGAGCAGCGGGGCTGCTGCTGACATCGCCTGTCCTGGAGGAACCATCCGATTTGCTCCGAGAGCCGGCATTGAAAAAATCAATGGCGTCGCCCAGCGAACAGTCTCCCGCCACGGAGAGGCACTCCTCGACGTTAGCCTTGAACAAGGCTGCTCGCCTCTGCCTCTCCTCCGGGGGGAGGAGGTCACAGAGGTGGCAGGAGGAGGCGAGGTCAGCATGGCGGGGACCCAGGCATCCTTCGCAGATGTCGTGCCGGTCGAAACTCAGCATGTAGCCGGTCTTGCAGGACAGGCACAAGCGGATGACGTTGGTGCTGGACATCGTTGTTGAAGCTCAGTGCTATACATTTGCTGAAGAAAAATGGGAGCCGATTACCCACTCTTAACGTAATTTATACGGACTGGGTGGGGCCCTCACAACAGGTGGGCGTGGACAAATTTTTTCAGTGCTATACTTTGCATGACGGGATAAACCCACCAGCGACAGCTCTTAAAGAGCGAAGCCTATACGAAATAGAACTGGTTAATCCACTCTGAGAAGGTGCTATTTATAAGACAGAGCTGAATACAGCACCTCAGACTGAGGAAGTCTTTCGGATGAACGACAAAACGTTTCTACTTTTTTTTGTTTTGTTTGTTTGTTTTGTTTTGTTTTTTGATTGTCCAGAGGACCAGATTTAACTTTTTTAGATATTTTCTTGTAGTTTTTAGTTACCAACTAGTTTTCTACCAGTCCCAGCTCATTGAGGTGCTACTTTTAGCCTTCACATGGAGGACCATCTTGGAGATCTACATAAAGACATCTGCTGTCAACTCAGCAGAAAAGTGTTTAAGTTTTCAGTAAATATCCAGAAACTGGGATGGTATATATTAATCCTGTCATAATCTATTTTTGTCTTCCATAGCTTCTGTTCCAGTACCCAGTAAGCCACTCGCAGCCTGCTCCATTTTATGTGGGAGGACCCATGGGAGGGATTGACAACATGGCAGGAACAGAGCCCAGTCAGCAGGCTCCGCCCCCAGCACCAATGACCCCCGCCCCACCTTCTTCCACACCCTCCTGTTCTGCTGGGCCCTCTCCCTCCTCCCAGGGATCTGAGACCTCATTTGACTGCACCCACTGTGGCAAATCTTTACGTTCCAGGAAGAATTACAGCAAGCACATGTTTATCCACTCCGGTAAGTTCACTACACACGGTAATTAAGTCACTGTACAATGGTTGGAAAATATAATACAATAAAAATAAGTTTGGAAAAAAATGTAGTTTTGAGTTGCACTAGAATTTTCACCCGAGGTCATGGCACTCGTTCTTGGAGACATTTCCTGGATCTGTTAAACAGTAGAACATGCGTTGGGCTACTCATCATCCATCCATCCATTTTCTTTTACCCGCTTCTTCCATTTTGGGTCACCGGGGTCGCCAGTGCCCATGTCCAGCAATCACTGTGCGAGGGGTGGGGTACACCCTGGACGGGTCGCAAGTCCATCACAGGGACACATAGAGACAAACGAGACAAACAACCATTCACTCTCTCACTCACACCTAGGGACAATTTAGAGTTACCAATCAGTCTAACATGCATGTTTTTGGACTGTGGGAGGAAACCGGAGTACCCGGAGAAAACCCACGCATGCATGGAGAGAACATGCAAACTCCACCCAGAAAGGCCCCTGGACCGGGATGTGAACTGGGGACCTGCTCGCTTAGAGGCAGTAGCTCTACCAGTTTCACCACCGTGTTGCCTTCTATACATCCAGTTCATTTCAATTCAGTTTATTTATAAAGAAGAACCCACAGCAAATCAATCACCCTAAACTGGACATTTGTCTCCATGTTTTTAAATGAGAAGACGACTTCATACCTCGTCGCTCTGCAGGTAGGGGCCGTTTACACGGCGTGTATTTTAGTGCATCCGCTCCTTTCTCTCTGCGGTTCTGCTGATCATCTACACGACACCAGTGACCCCCCTCTTTGAATCCAGATGTTTCTGAACCCACCTTCCAGAGTGGAGGTTTTTCTCTGACCCCCCGCTGATAATGGAAACATCTCCCGCTGAGGCTTTGTGTTAAACCACATGCGCGCACGCGGACAGACGCTGTATTTCTATCAACATGGCGGCGGACACACTGCTTTCAGAACCTCGACTGATGGAATATATTTTTAATCTTGTAGTTAATCTACGTCAGATTCCAGGTGCTGTGACCAACATCTGTGTTGGAAGAGACACAGTCTGATCCAGTTCTAATGTCGCTGTTTATAGAACGAGCCTGTTGAGGCAGACGTGCACATCTCGCTGCACTATAACAGTTTATTAATAATAAACAGTATTTATGTTAGTGTGAGATATAATGAAGCTCTGAGCTAAATGAAGCTATCTGGACATTATGTAATTCAAATTTAAAATGATGCTAAACATGTAGCGTGTTATTAAAGTTGAAAATGAAGACATCAGATTTGAATTTTATTTATTTATTCAACACCACAAACTGTATGTCACACAAACACTGATAATTAAACTGTACACACTATTAAAACACGTTAACAGTAAACTGCATGAATGAACTGGACTCTTGTTTTCATCCTGGATGTTCTGGTCCCATGTTGTTCATCTGGCTCGTTCAGGCTGTCACTCCTTTGATTAATGCAGCTTAAAACATTGAATAGATTGAATTAAAGAACTGAGGGGATTTTAAATAAATAGTTCATCAACATCTCTCTCCGATGTCCTCCTGCACCTGGGCCGAGCCTCGTTCAGAACCGGTCCGCCTGGTGGAGGACAGCTCCTTCTTCTTTCAGGAAAAAATAAAAACTCAGCTGGTTGTTGTGTGATCAAAGTAAACACAAACTAACATTATTAAGAACATTGATTTACCTGCTGTAAATCAGCTATTGATTATCACGGAGTAAAGTCCGACATCGTCGACTCGGTTCTGGTCCACTCAGCGACCGGTGTGGAGCTGTTGGACGAAGCGGTCCCGCTTGGTGTCAAATCTGTCGGCTCTTATCCAGAATCCAGCTTCAACTTGTTGTTAACTTGTTGTTAGCTGAGCTTTTAGTCCAGAGGAAAGGAGCGTGCCGAGGCAGCAGCATGCGCATTAGGTGAAGGTACAAAATTCACAGCGCCATCTAATGACCTGGCATGGTAATTACAGCGGATTTGGGAGGGCGGGGGGGAATCCTCCGAATGCATGTGAATACAAAATCCAACCGTGTCAACACAAATCTTTTCTTCTAATTAACATACGAAAAAACCTACGTTTCCCCCCATCGTGTCCGTCTAAATAGGGCCTAAGGCAAAGAAGATGTAGTATGATGAGTTGTATGGGAGGCTGGACACTAAAGAGGGTGAGAAGGACTTGTACTGATTGGCAAGACAGAGGGATCAGGCTTGAAAGGATGTGCAGCAGGTTAGGCTTGTTAAAGATGGGAATGGTAATGTTCTAACAAGTCAAATTTATTTATAAAGCACATTTAAAACATCAACTGTTACCAAAGCGCTTAACAAGTGAGGAGAGTGTGACGGGAAGATGAAAGGAGTACTTTGAGGAGCTAATGAATGAAGAGCATGAAAGAGAAAGAAGAGTAGAGGTCATAGAAACTGTGGACCAGGAAGTGGGAAAGGTTTGTGCAGGTGAAGTCTGTAAAGCTCTGAAAAGAATGAAGAAGGGGAAGAACTGGTTCTGAAAGGTGTCGGTTGAAGTCTTCTTAACACCATACTGTGTGCTGACTCGGGGCATGCACACATTTTACTCCTTTTTACATACAAACTTTTGGGAGTGACGATACACAGGAGTAAGCTCTCAGATGTGTGCTGTTGCAGGGAAGAGGTGGGAATTATGCTCGGGTAACCTCTAGGTGTTCAAAAATAAATTCTAAAGATTTTTATTTGCTTTCATCCCTGTGGACGTTTGTGATATTCTGGCCTCAGGTCCCGCAGCATTAAAGCAGGTCTCATTTTGTTATGGACATCACTGCATGTGCTCAGGAACACGTCCAAAAATAGAAGTCGCATAAGAATAGGACCATCCATCCTGTTGTCAGTGCAAGGTTCAAAAGCCTGCCTCTCTGACGGTATGGGGGTGCATTAGTGCCTATGATATGGGTAGCTTACACATCTGGAAAGGCACTATCAATGCAGAAAAATACATACCATATTTTCCGCTGTACACGTCGCTCCGCCCTATAAGTTGCATTAGTCCAAATATGACTAATAAAGTGGAAAAATCCATAAATACGTTGCATCTATTATGTGACCACTGACGCGTCACGTTTGTTACGCATCACATCTAAAAACCTGGAAATGTGGTCCGAACCAAGAAATGTGGCCGGTGTTGTGCCAAAAATCGATTGGCTGCCAAATGGCGGCCGCAGGAGCGTGCACGGGAGGACTTTAACAAGAACTTAACAAGATTAGCATCCATCCATCCATCCATCCATCCATTATCTTTACCCGTTTATTCCATTTTGGGTCACGGGGGTCGCCGGTGCCCATGTCCAGCAATCACTGTGCGAGGGGCGGGGGACACCCTGGACAGGTCTCCAGTCCATCACAGGGACACATAGAGACAAACAACCATTCACTCTGTCACTCACACCTAGGGACAATTTAGAGTTACCAATCAGCCTAACATGCATGTTTTTGGTCTGTGGGAGGAAACCGGAGCACCCGGAGAAAACCCACGCAGCACGGAGAGAACATGCAAACTCCACCCAGAAAGGCCCCTGGACTGGGGTTGGAACCAAGGACCTGTTCGCTGAGAGGCAGCAGCTCTACCAGTTGTTCCACCGTGCTGCCAAGATTAACACTTAAAAACAATTATTTATTTGCTCGAAATTATAACAAAGGTGTTTAACTTTTCCTTAATAAATGCACTTTAATGGTCAAATCAGCTGCATTTCAAAAGCCGATACGTGGAAATAGGCGCGTGCACGGGAGGACTCGCTGTGTATTTCTTCAAAATTTAACAAGATAGGCACCCTAAACACAATTATTTGTTTGCTTGACTTTGTAGTAAAGGTGTTTCTCAGTTTAACTTTTACTTAATAATAGGGGTGTCAACGTTAATGCATGCGATTAATCTAAAAAGATGAATGCATTAATATTACATAATGCAGATTAATCATATTACCTATTTTGACCTATAAAGGCCTCTGTCCTGCAGAGGTAGAGCAGTAATCTCTTACCCGAATCGGAGCCGACCTGGCGCGATTTGGCCTGGCGGGCCAGTGTGTGTGTTTGTGTGCGCGTGTGTGTGGTTTTGATGTGGTTTCACGAATCATACTGCATGGTATAAAATTGTGTTGATCTACTTGTAGAGGAGGAGTCTTAAGTTTATATGTTGAGAGGATGAAGAAGGAAAGAAGAGCGCAGCAGTTGATCAGACTGTGAAGAGATTGCTGGCACATTGTGCAATAATTGCTCATGTGGGCTCGGGCTTCCATGATGCAGTTTTAGAATCATAGCACAACGAAATAAGAATGCATGATATAAAATTGTGATGGACACCTGTCACCGGCCGTGCGCGTCCGCTGACCTGCTGGTTGAAAAGGACTTGCGATCTGTCCGGGGTGTACACTGCCTCTGTGACGGCTGGACATGGGCACCAGCGACCCGAAAAGGAAGAAGCAGGTAAGGATGGATGGATGGATGGATGGATGGATGGATGGATGGATTTACTGACTGACTGACTGACTTACTGACTGACTGACTGACTGACTGACTGACTGACTGACTGACTGACTGACTTACTGACTTACTGACTGACTTACTGACTTACTGACTTACTGACTTACTTACTTACTTACTTACTGACTTACTGACTTACTTACTGACTTACTTACTTACTGACTTACTGACTTACTTACTTACTTACTGACTTACTTACTTACTTACTTACTTACTGACTTACTTACTTACTTACTTACTGACTTACTGACTTACTTACTGACTTACTTACTTACTTACTTACTTACTGACTTACT